TCCTTTTGTGGAGGATTGCAATAGGATTCCCTTTGTGGAGGATTACTATAGGATTCCTTTTGTGAGGATTCCATTAAGATTCCTTTTGTTGAGGATTACACTAGGATTCCTTTTGCGGAGAATTGCAAAACAATTCGGGGCTCTGATTTCGTTGATTTTGTTGCCTGGGTGCTCTGATTGTCATGTTTTTCTTTTGGTTTTGACTGATTTTCCTGTGTTTGTTGGTTTCTGCCCCCCCGCGCCCCCCCCCTGGGGGTGAGGTGGGGGCGGCGCTGGGAGAGCGAGGGCGCCGAGCACAAACGCAGCGCGCGCACCTGTCGCGACCGCCCCTGCGAGGCCGCCAGCCCATCGTTGGGCGCGGCGCCCCCAGGGGGCGGTCCGCGCCCGTGGGTCCGCGCACTCGCCGCCCAGGGCGCGGCGCCCACCCCCAGGCAGGGTCACCTGGGTGCCGATGACCCCCAGGTGCGGTTGAGGGTGGGGGAAAACGCCGCACCCCCAGCTGCCAGCGCCGATGGCGGTAGGTAGTCAAGGAACCTGCGGGCTGCGCCAGCCCCCCCCCGGGCCCCCGGCGCGCGCGCAGAGCCGCCGCGACGCGGGATCCCAGCGGCGGCCAAGCGAACAAACAGCCAGCGCTGGCAGCGCCGCGCGGCGCGGCGCGCGGCCCCCCCTCGCAGGCGGCTCCTGCGCGGCGTCGCGCTCGTCGGCGGACATGGCCGCCGACGCCCCGCGCCCCCGTTCGCTATCGCGCGCGCGCGTTTGTGCCTGCCAAGCAAACGAGTTTGTGGGCCTACCACAAACGCAGCGCGCGCACCTGTCGCGACCGCCCCTGCGAGGCCGCCAGCACCCCATCGTTGGGCGCGGCGCCCCCAGGGGGCGGGCCGCGCCCGTGGGTCTGCGCACTCGCCGCCCAGGGCGCGGCGCCCACCCCCTAGCAGGGTCACCTGGGTGCCGATGACCCCAATGCCGACGGTAGCCAGGGAGCCGCCAGGGGAGGGGGCGCGAAACCCAATGCCGAGCCAGCCACCGCTGGCGCGCGCGCTCCCCTGACGCGAGAGCTATCCCTGCACGCGCGCAGGTGCTTGGCCTGCCTGCAGCGCCTCCAGCACGGCGTCGCCCTCGAGCTCTTCTCGATCCATATAGTCGAGGAACGCGCCCGATCGCCAGCAGCCCGCACGGAGAATCTCTGCGAGCCTGCCACCGCTGCGGCGTAAAGTCCCCGCGTGGCCACGCGGAAGGACTTCGCGCAAAAGTGCGCAGAGTCGCGCTCGCCAGCCTCATGGGCGAGCCGCCGCACCAAGCTGAGAATGCACCCGCACGACAGGTGCGCAAACGGCGCGGCGCCCGCCGGCGCGCGGTCGAAGAAGGCCCCGAGGGCGTGCACGGGGCAAGTGGTTGCGCACGCCGCGCACCAACAGCTGCGCACGATGCGCGAGGGATGGTCGACGTGTTTGCGTCTACTCAAATGCAGGGTGACAAGGCCGCCGGCGAAGAATACAACCGCGCATGCCTTGCGCGCGCGACAATCCTCGTCAGAGAAGGAGAAGGACGCGGCCATGCGCGGGTCACCCTTCTCGATTCGGAGGCCCTCCGACGGCACTCTAAGAGCGAACGCGAAAGCCGCGACGAAAAGGCCCCGAGTGGCCTCGTCGGGCACGCGCGCACGCATGTCGACTAAGAGCCGATGGCCGATCGCGGGCTTCGGCGCCGGCTCTTCGCGCAGGCGCTTGCGCACGGCGGCGCGCGCGCCGCTCGCTTCCGCGCTGTCGAAAGCACTGCAATCAAGGCGCAATAGCCTGCAGGCCTTGAGGACCTGCGCCTTGCAATTGCCAAACGTCTTGCGATTGCGAAAATGCGTGGCCCACAGCGCGAGCTCAGAAGGGGAGGGCGGCAGCGCTTCGTTGTCGCGCATGCCCAGCACCTTGGCGGCGAACGCGAAATAACTCCGCAGGGCGCTGCGCCGCGTGCCGAAGGATGCCGGCGCCCCGCCCACGAGGGCCGTCGCGCGCGCGGCCTCCAGCCGCGCGGCCCGCTGCGCATCCGAAAAATGGCCGTGCGCCTCGGCCGCTGCCCGCGCGCTCGCCGCCGGCCCAGCCCGCGAGCGGCTGGCGCACTCGGCCACCGCTTTTCGTGCTTTCGATAGCTGCGCGAGCACCTGGGCGCGGCCGTAGGTATATGGCGCGCGGAGTATGTCGCTCGTCGCGCGCGCCTGTCTGTCCGCTCAGAGTCCACTGCCGTGCGCACAGAAGACCAGATACACAGGAAATGCCCGCTATCGATCGGCTCGGCGAGTCCCCCGAGCCTCGACGACCCCCGAAACACGCACTCGCGACGTAGAGCCCGACTCCGCAGCGGGCTGGCGCGGTCGCGCGGCGGCAGAATGCCCGACCGCGCTGGCTGCCGCGCCCCTCGGCGGCGGGCCGGGCGGAGGGCGCGCCGTGGCCATCCGCTCCAGGATCCGCGCCGCCCCCCCTGATACCGCCTCCGTGCGAACGCGGCGCGGCCGCGCGGTCGCTATGGAAACGCGCGCGAAGAGGGCGCCTCGAAGCCGTTCCACGTCCGGACGGGCGGCAACGCCCCGACGCAGGATACACGGAAAACGTCGTTCTGCCGCATGCACGCCGCGACCTCCTCCGCGGCCGCGGCCGCGCTCCCGCGGCGCCATTGCGCGACTTCGTCAAGCAAGCAGGGAGCGGCGGACATTGGCCTCGCGACCGCTTAAGCGCGCGGGGTGCACTAACCGCCGAGCTGCAGCGGGTGCGCGCATCCCGCTGCACGCCCGCTCCGGGTGAGAGCGCGCGGAAATCCGCCGAGCCGGCGGTCGCGCGCGCGGCAATGCCCGCGCCGCGCGCGCACGCTGCCCGCTACGCGAGCTACCCTGGCAGCTGGAGCCGCTGGAACTGCGGCCACAGCGTCGGCCAGCGCCACGTGGCACCCAAATCGTCGAGTAAACGATACTCCTCGCGGCTGGGCAGATCGGCAATGTTATCGTCTTCGCGCACGCGCAGAACGCGCGTGTCGACGGCGGTGCGCAGCGGCGCGAGCAGGCGCCCGTAGCGACTCGGTCCACCAGCACCGACAAGTGCATTGCGCACGCGGTCGCCCAGAATGCGTGAACGATCGCGCAATGATCTGGCGCGGCCGCCGAGCCACGTCGGAAGGCGCACTCAGCGACCGTGTTGTCACTGTAGATGCGGACGTCGCGGCCGCGGATCCTGTTGCCCCACGTGCACATTGCCAGCCCAACTGCGAGCATTTCCAGCCCGACAATTTGGGCGCCCCGCCGTTCGCGGAATTGCCTTGCGCGCGCTGGCAAGCGATGCGCCAGGGCGGGCACGGGCACGTGAAGCGATGCTGCCCCGCCGTAATAGAGGCCCCGGCGGATCCCACGCCGTATACTCGACGCGCCCGTCGATGCAAACCACGGCCGCAAGATTCGGCGGCGTGCCGCGCGCGTCCGCGAGAATGACGTCAGGCGGTCGCTCGTCGCCGCCGGCCCAAGCCCTGGTCTCCACTATATCATGGGCCAGGACTTCCGCCCACCAGCGCAGGCAGCACATCGCGTCCGCGGACAGCTTTGCCAAGCGGCCGTGCGCGTGCGCGAACAGCGGTCGCAGCATCGCGCGCCCCAACCGGCGGAACTGATGCGATGCACCCCAGGAGAGCGCGCCCGCCAGCTTGGACGCCGCCCCGGCGGACAGCTCCTCCGCTGCCAAGGCGGCGCGGACCCGCTCGAGCCACTTGGCACGCTTGTCCGCGGATGGACGAGCGCGGAAGCCCCAGCGATCGACCTGGCCGCGCGGACCCAAGGCGCGCGCCCCACAGACGCGCGCGCGCACGCTTGGCGGGCGCCTCGATCTGCAAGCCCAGGATAACAAGAGGGCGCCCTCACTCTGTCTTACGGTCCGCGATGGCCGCGTCGCCGAGCAGAGCGCGGACCACGCGGACCACGCATTGCAGCGCGTGCCTTGCCTGCGCGCGGACACGCCGGCTCAGCGCGGCCGCCGTCGCGCGCGACGGCGCGGGCGGCGCCGGCGACGCCCGTTCGACGCTGAACAAATCGTCCACGTATCGCAGCAACGCAACCCGCAGCAGCTGGCGGCAAATGCGGGTGATCAACGCGCCGACCCGTTCCCAGTTGTGCACGCTGCTCACTGACAAGGCAAGAGGGCCCCGCGACGGCGCGCGCGGGTCGCGCGCCCGCCTGCGCCGAAAGGAAGAGCCGTGTGCTGCGCGATGAGCACTGCATCGCCGTGGCGGAACGCGACCCACGCGAAGTCGCGGTCCCGTGGGCACAGTGGCACGCGGCGAAAAGCCGCGTCGATGTCTGCCTTGAACAGGAGGACATCTTCGCCGCCCGATGCCTCGTGCACCGTCTGAGCGACGTCGTAGAGCGAATCTATGGTGTCGCGCCGCCACTTCTCCTGCGCGCGGCGACGCGCCGGCCTGCACCTCTGGCGGCGCGTGCCCTGCGGCCTGGGGCTGGGTCGCTCTGTTGAGGTCGGCGGCGCTGCAATCGTGCACCGAACGCACCTGCCGCGCGAAGGGCGGCGACTGGGGCGCCGGCGCCAAGGTCGGCGCGCCTTGGGCGAGCCGTCCTCCTTGATACCCTGCGGGGCGCCGAACCGCGGGATGACGACGGCCCCGTCTGGCGGCGGCTCGGCCGCCGCGTCGCGCGGCACTGTCAGTCGCCCCAGCGCGGCGCCCGAACGCGCGGTCGCGAGAAGCGCGTCGGAATGCAGATCACGTCTCGCGCGCTTCAGAACTTTGTCAGCAGACGTCTTGGCGCCTGCGACGCTTCGACACATCGGCGGGTCAGCTCCGCACGGCGCGCTTCGGCGGGCCTGCCCTGAGCTCGTCTGCCGAGATGCAGCGCTTGTGGTCGCGCGGCTCGCCCACTCCCGAGCGAGGGAGAGACCCGATCAGGGGGGCGCCCTGCCGCGGCCGCGCGGTTCGCCGTGGCGGGGCAAACGCGAGCTCGCCTGACGGAAAAATTCGACCACCTCGGCATCTGGATGGTCGCATTCGCGCGCTAACATGCGCAGCAGCGGGCCGTTCACGGACTCGGACACCCGCGCGACTGCGGGGTCGCAGCCGCTGAACCACCGCGCACATTCGCCAGAGGCCCGGAGCTGAGCGCCCATCTTCTCGATGCGTCTCGTGGCCGCCCCCCGATGAGCAATGACCTGCGCGACGCGGAGCGCGCGCGCGTGCGCGCGCCAGCCGTGCGCGAGAGGGGTGGTGGGGGGGGGGCCGCGCCTCCTCGGCGGGCGTGGACGCGGCCCACTCGGCGGCCGCGCGCGCGTCTTCCCCGATCGAGGACTCGCGCGCGAAGCCCTCGCGGCCCAAGTCATGAACTGACTGCATGAAACGCAGCTTGGCCTCATCGCCGGCGCTTGCGCGCGCCCTCTTGGCCCAGCCGCCGGCGTCGCCCGCGCCGGCGCGGGCGCGTTTCGAGAGACGCGTCATCTCAGACCGCTGCGAGGCGTCGCGCGTCGCGAGCTGGCACTGAATTGCGCGCGAGATGGAAGAGCACGCGCCGGCGCGGGAAACGAGAGCGCGCGCCGGCCACAATTGTTCGACGTGAAGCACAAACGCGCCCGCGCTAGGTCCCGGCGGGCTCGTCTCGGCGAGCGGGCGGCCCGAAGCGGCCCGCTTCCCCGCGGCCCGAAGCCCAGGCTGTCACGGGCGAACGGGCGGCGGCGCCTGCGGTGGCGCACAATTCTCACCAGCGCGAGCGTTTCCACTTGGCGTTGCCCCTTCCGCTCTCCGCCGGGCGCTTCCCCCACGACGTCTCGCCGCGGCCCCCGCTGCTGCCCACGGCGGTCCACGCGCCGTCCGCGCCCTTGGCCCGCTGGGGGGGCGTGCCGCCGCCGCTCTTCGAGGGCTTGCTCGCGGGCTTAGCCGACCTGCCGGCGCGCGCGGCGAACAATCGCGCGGGCGCGTCGCCGCGGGCGGGCCTTTCGGCGCGGTCGCACGCCTGCTCGGCCCTGGTCAGCAGCTCGCGGCAAACCTTCTGCGCCGCCACGTCTACCTGGCGGCGCGGGCAACGGGCCGCGGGCCCCTCGCCGCGCGCGCGCGAGAAAGGCGCGCGCCGCGAAGTCCGGCACTCCCGCGGCTGCTTTCTCGGCCCAGTCCTTGCGGCAGCTCTCGTCGTAGAGCATGCCCAAATGGGCTTTCCGGCCGCCCAGGCGCGCGTTCGTGGCCACCTGCGCGGACGAAGCGGCGCGCGACAGCGTGGCACCGATGGCGCGCGCGGGGGCGCCCTCATGCAAATTTGCTTGTGGGCCATGGCGGACACGTACGCCAGTTGGTCTGCCACGGCTGCACCAATTGCGTAACTCGCAGGAAGCCGAAAGGCGGCGTTGCGAAGCACACTGCGCCGAACGCGCGCGGGGTACGCATCGATGGCCATGCGCCACTCGTTCCATGTCAGCGCGTTGGCGCCGGCGGCGGGGGGCGCGTCCAACGGCGACCAATCGCGCAAGTCCGCGCACATTGGCCACCCCTGTCTTCTTCAGCTTCGCGACCTCGCCCGCAAGGGCGTCAACGCGCGCGCTCCTGACACCGCCGCGCAGACGTCGCGTCCGATCCAGCAAGCGGGTTCCGCGGACTCGCCTGGGCCACAGTGCCGGCGGGAGATCGTCGAGCTTGATCTCTTTCAGCCGTTGCCCCACGTCCACGTGGACGGCTGGGGCTTCCTCTCTCTTGAGCAGGCGGGAAAATTCGCCTATCGCGTCGCCCCCACTAGCGGGGCCCGCGCCGCCCGGCGCCCTGCCCTCGCGCGCCAGCGGGGCAAAGCGCTTCTTTGCGACCTGCGCAGGACTCGCCGCGCAGCGTCGCGGCGCCACCGGTGCGAAAGCGCGCCGCGGCCTCGATGGCGCCAGCGAGAGCGTGCCTCTTCCCTGCGCTGGGGCGCGGATCAAGCTCGTCAAGTGCGACGGATGCGAGCGCGCGGGGGGTCCACACCTGCCACGGCCGCGCGCGCGCGCCGCCGACCCGCGCGGCAGGGCGCGAGGGCGGGCTCGCCTCGGCGCGGCCAAGAATCGCCACGAGGTCAGTGAGGAACGCTTCCTTGTCTGGGCAGCCCTGCGGAGCAGGCGCCTCGGCAGTCAGAGACAAGCGCAACTCCTCCGCCATTGTCAGCGCGCCCGAATCGCGTCGCCCCCTGTCGCTGCTGCCGCACTGGCGCGCTTCAAATGCGGCAGAGCAACGCAGCGCCCGCGCGGGCGCGCGCGCGCCGAGCACGCACGGGCACGAACGAGCGCAGAGGCAATTGCAAAAGCACTAATGGCATTTTGCCCGCGGACCCGTCGGCCGCTACGATGGTGCAGATGGCACAGTTGCCAGGAGGCCCAGTCGGCCGTTGCGGTGGCGCGGTTGCCCATGGGCCCAGACGGCCAGAAGGCGTCCTGACACCGCCGCCGAGTGAGTGCAGTGGGCCCAGCCAGCCCCAGGGGGGTGGCACAATTGCCAGTGGGCCCCAATTGGCCTGCGGCCACAGTTAGGCCCTGAGAGTGGCACGATTGGCAGTGGGCCCAAGTTGGCCAGCGGGCACGAATTAGCCCTTTTGCGAGGTGGCCCCGTTGCCAAGGAGCCCAAGTGGCCAGCGGGCACAAATTAGCCCTCTGCGATATGGCACAATTGCCAGTGGGCCCCATTTGGCCAGCAGGCATTAATTAGCCCTTTGCGAATGGCGCAGTTGCCAGTGGGCCCCAGTTGGCCAGCGGGCAGTAATTAGCCCCCCTGCGAAATTGAACAGTTGCCAGTGGGCCCTAGTTGGCCAGCGGGCACTGATTAGCCCTCTGCGAATGGCGCAGTTGCCAGTGGGCTCCCGTTGGCCAGCGGGCACAAATTACGCTTTGCGAGTGGCACAGTTGCCAGTGGGCCCCAGCTGGCCAGCGGGCACTAATTAGCCCTTTGCGAATGGCGCAATTGCCAATGGGCCCCAATTGGCCGACGGGCACTAATTAGCCCTTTTGCGAACGGCACGGTTGCCACGGCACTAATTAGCCCTTTGCGAAGTAGCGCAATTGCCAATGGGCCCCAGTTGGCCAGCGGGCACTAATTAGCCCTTTGCGAGGTGGCACAGTTGCCCAAGGGCCCCAGTTGGCCAGCGGGCGCTAATTAGCTCTTTTGCGAAGTGGCGCAGTTGCCATTGGGCCCCAGTTGGCCAGCGGGCATTAATTGGCCCTTTGCGAGGTGGCACAGTTGCCAGCGGGCACCGCTGGTCGCTCTTTACGCGTACGTTTCGGCACGAGCGTTGCACCATTGCCCGACAGGCGAGCTGCGCCCGCACGCTCCGCGGACTCCCCGAACGCTCGGCACCCGCCCTGGCGGGAGCATCGGGCACCAAGAGGGCCCGACGTCCCCCGCGCAGGACGAAGCCGGCGAAGCCGCCATTACTCGGCGGAGAAATGCAAATTGATTTCGAGCTCGCAAAATCGACGAGGTGAGCTCGTTGAGGTCGTCCATGTAGAAATCATCTACACCTGGGGGGATGGAGCGGGGAAGGAACCTGCGCGCGAAGGAGAGGGCAGCGAGCGAGGACGGCGGCGCGCGCGGAAGAAGGAGCGGAAGGGGAAATCGGAACCTGCACGGGAGGGGGGCGCGGCGCGGCGACCGCCGGCGAAAACGCGCGCGCGCGGAGCAAGCAGTCGGAGGCGCGCGACGGACCGCCGGCGCGCGCGCGCGAAGCAAGCAGGCGGCGGAGAAAACGCCGCACCCCCAGCTGCCAGCGCCGATGGCTGGCAGCAAGGAAAGGAACCTGCGCGGCGCGCGCGCCGCGCGCGCAGAGCCGCCGCGACGCGGGATCCCAGCGGCGGCCAAGCGAACAAACAGCCAGCGCTGGCAGCGCCGCGCGGCGCCGCTCCAGCGCGGCGTCGCGCTCGTCGCCGGACATGGCCGCCGACGCCCCGCGCTCCCGTTCGCTATCGCGCGCGCGCGTTTGTGCCTGCCAAGCAAACGAGTTTGTGGGCCTACAACCAACAAAAACAAGAAAATCAGTCAAAACCAAAGGAAAAGCAAGAAAATCAGAGCACCCAGGCAACAAAATCAACGAAATCAAAGTCCCGAATGGTTTTGCAATCCTCCACAAAAGGAATCCTATTGAAATCCTCCACAAAAGGAATTTCAATGAAATCCTCACAAAAAAGGAATCCTATTGTGATCCTCAACAAAGGGAATCCTTTTGTAATCCTCCACAAAAGGAACCCTAATGAAATCTTCACAAAAGGATTCCGATCGTAATCCTCCACAAAGGAGATCCTTTTGTAATCCTTCATGCTGTCACTTCTCCCACAAAAGGATCCTTAATGAGATCCCAACAAAGGGAATCCTAGCGTAACCCTCCACAAAAAGGAACCCTAGTGTAATCATCCACAACTGGAATCCTGGTGCGTGTGTGGCGCTGATTTCGTTGATGTTGTTGCCTGGGTGCTATGATTTTCTTGTTTTTCCTTTGGTTTTAACTGATTTTCTTGTTTGTTGGTTTCTGCTCTCCCGCGCCCCCCCTGGGTGCGAGGTGGAGGCGGCGCTGGGGGAGCGAGGGCGCCGAAAACCAACAAAAACAAAATAATCAGTCAAAACCAAATGAAAAAACAACAAGAAAATCAGAGCACCCAGGCAACAAAATCAACGACATCAAGGTCCCGAATGGTTTTGCAATCCTCTACGAAAGGAATCGTATTGTAATCCTCCACAAAAGGAATCCTAATGAAATCCTCACAAAAGGAATCCTAGTGTAATCCTCAACAAAAGGAATCCTAATGAAATCTTCGCAAAAGGATTCCGACTGCAATCCTCCACAAAGGGAATCCTTTTGTAATCCTCCACAAGGAATCCTAATGCAATATTCACCAAAGGATTCCGATTGCAATCCTCCGCGAAGGAAATCATTTTGCAATCCTCCACAAAAAGGAATCCCCACGAAATCCTCACCAAAGGAATCCTAGTGTAACCCTCCGCAAAAGGAATCATATTGCAATCATCCACAAAAGAATCCTGGTGCGCGTGCGGCGCTGATTTCGTTGATTTTGTTGCCTGGGCTTTGATTTTCCGGTTTTTCCTTTGGTTTTGACTGATTGTCTTGTTTTTGTTGATTTCTGCTCTCCCGCGCTCCCTCTGGAAGCGACGTGGAAGCGGCGCTGGAGGAGCGAGGGCGCCGAAAACCAACAAAACAATAAAT